GCAACAAAAACAAACAAACAAACTAGAACAACGTTGCAAAGTCTGAGCACATTCACACAAAGATCCGAGTTAATTTACCCAAAAACAAACAAGAACAATGTTGCAGAGTCTGAGCACATTCACACAAAGGTCCGAGTTAATTTAGCAGAGTCTGAGCACATTCACACAAAGGTCAGAGTTAATTTACCAAAAAACAAACAAACAAACTAGAACAAGGGTAAATTAACTCGGATCTTTGTGTGAATGTGCTCAGACTCGGCAACATTGTTCTAGTTTGTTTGTTTGTTTTTTGGTAAATTAACTCTGACCTTTGTGTGAATGTGCTCAGACTTTGCAACATTGTTCTAGTTTGTTTGTTTGTTTTTTGGTAAATTAACTCTGACCTTTGTGTAAATGTGCTCAGACTCTGCAACGTTGTTCTAGTTTGTTTGTTGTTTTTGTTTGATAAATTAACTCGACATTTGTGTGAATGTGCTCAGACTCTGCAACATGGTTCTAATTTGTTTGTTTGTTTTTGGGTAAATTAGCTCGGACCTTTGTGTAAATGCGCTCATACTCTGCTAAATTAACTCGGACCTTTGTGTGAATTTGCTCAGACTCTGCAACATTGTTCTAGGTTGAGATGTGAGGAAAGTAATGAATAAAAAAACATGTTATTAAAAGAAAGAAAGAAATATAATTCATAACGTTTCGAGCAAATTACTTTCAGTAGGAATCAATGAATGAAACTGGGAAACTGTTTCATATACGTAAATGTGTTGATTCAAGTGATCGTTACAAAAGGTTCGAGTTAATTTACCAAAAACAAAACAAACAAGCAAACTAGAACAATGTTGCAGAGTCTGAGCAAATTAACACAAAGGTCCGAGCTAATTTACCCAAAAACAAACAAACAAACTAGAACCATGTTGCAGAGTCTGAGCACATTCACACAAAGGTCCGAGTTAATTTACCAAAAAACAAAAACAAAAAACAAACAAACTCGTGGACATAGGATTTTAACCTAATTTCGTCAGAAAAACATGAGAATCCAGGTGAAATAAAGGTGCCCCACAGTGGCACAACGGTATGACTTCGGACTTACAACACTAGAAACCAGGTTTCGATGCCCGTGGTGGGAAGAGCACAGATAGCCCTTTGTGTTAACTACAAACAAACAAGCTGAAATAAAGGAAACAACAATATCATATCAATTACAGAAGAGTGAATGAAACTTCCAAGCATTTACTGGGTAAGTTTCTCAAGACAGGAAAACGCATATAGTGAATTAAACTTCCAAGAAGGCAGAGAAAGGTATACATTTAAATAAGACATAAGTGTTGAAGTTATATGATAAAGCTGATTAAAGTTTTCAGCATCAAACTTTCAATATGTCAGACGCACATAGCGACAGAAATGTTTAAAACTTGGTATAAAACTACTGAGCTGTAAACTTGTCCTGTAAATACAAGGTGACCCAAAAATTAGTTGTCTTTACACTTTTATTTCCTCTATGATGATACCATTTGAGGTGCAGCACAAAAATTCTTGCTCCGTTGTGGGTTTGTGTGCTGTGCTTATTTACTCTTCACGTATACACTCGCACATCAAACTGAAAATGGTGAAAAAAAACAAAAACTAGTATACTGTTCTGGGGTATTTTGGGACACCCTGTAATGGAAATATATTATGTATGTTTTACACGCGCGCACACCCGAAGTTCTACTTACTGGAGGTACAGCTGTAATAGCCATGAATTTAAGCAATATAACTTAACTTTTGATGCTATATAGTTGCCCCACAATGCACAGCGGTATGTCTGCGGTCTTACAATGCTAGAAACGGGGTTTCGATACCCGTGGTGGGCAGAGCATAGATAGCCCATTGTTCAGCTTTGTGCTTAATTTCAAACAAAGCATATAATCTTATTTTAATATACACATTCATCCACAGTACACATTCATCCACTCTCCTAGCCCTGTGTGTTTGACTTTTATGAAATAACTTAAATACGATAAAGATTTGTAGACAGAACTGAATCAAAGAATCAAAAGTGAAACGAATACCAAGCCTAAAAGTTCTAGTTCTTCCTGAAATTGAGGGATCACTCCTGATGATGACAGTGAAATGTTGTCGAAACATGTAGTGTTGTAATTAAAGTTTGATTGTGCATGAAGAAACGTTGTTTTTCGTGTTTCATTATACCCTCTCTTTTCTTTTTGTAAAAGAAGAGAATTAATTTGAAGTATTTAATCAAAAAGAAATAAAAGTGTACAGCTTAATGTGAATAACAGTGTACATCTGAAAGTGTTATGGTAGTGAGTGATAATTGGATCAGATACAGTTTAAGATGTGAAACGTCAAGCTTAAAGTCTGTGCTTCTACAGAGATAAAGAATGATAATAATTCGTTGCTTTTAGAACTGTTTATGATCAAAATCATCCTAATCAAATAACATTAGGTTTTTCCATTACCTCGTTTCGCAGGTTAGGGATTTTGAAGGTGAAACTTTTGTTTTGTTAGATAACCTAAAGAGAATATTCTATCAAATCCCACTAGAAAAGGTGTAACAAATATTATCACAATTTTACTATTGTTTCCTTACAAAGTTTGGAAAAATTATTAGGTTTAGAAAACGCTCTTGTCTTACTAACACTGTTGGTGAGCGATAAGAATAATTATTCTATAATTTCAAGATCAGAGATTATATTTCTACGTGTTTAAAATGGTACACGGCAGTAACCCTAAACTGTCATCATTCATCATCCATAACTTTTATCAAAAATTAATAAATCGTCAGTGCGAGTGGCAAGACAGCAGTCGTAAATGTATAACGTTTATCCACACATAAAAATAGCATAATTTAAAAACAAAAAACGTATTCATAATATATACCGACTAACTAGAATGGCATGGTAAAAAAATAGCTTTTTCTTCTGGTAAAACATGTTCTTCCTGTTTTTTTTTAATGTTGAAATTACACTCGGAATAATTATATATATTTTTTAAATATTCAAGATGGACAGTTTCTCAAGTATTAATTTATTCATGTGACGTTTTTGAACAAAATATATAAGTATACATTTTGAGTATATATCACCACTTTCAATATCTTAGACATAACATTGTAGCCTTTAGTATTTATTAACTATGAGTATTTCCAAAATAGGGTTGCGTCCCTTGACTATCATAACACTACAGGGTATATCTGATATTTCTACATCCTTTATGGGTATCCATACTTTAAAACTTCAATAACCACCTTGCTAAGTGTAGCTACCTTGAGTATATATGATGGTAGATGAAAGCTGAGACAACCATATTGAATATTTCAAAGAAACCGACACCTATGTATATAATCATCTCGAATATCTTAATTGAAGATAAGTGAGATATACACCTGGCGGTTTTAGAGTTAGTTATATTTTCGGTACTCAAGATAACAAGATCATTGATTTATTTCATTACTTTTGAAATATACCCATCATGGTAGCTATAAATGAGAGGGTGATTATACCCATGTGAATTATACAATTTATAGTAAGAATATTTGTTGATGATCATGAAAAACTATCTGAAAACATAAGAACAATATAAATGTTTGTTCTTTTCTTCGACTTTACGCACGTGACCTTATTTTTCTTAGTGATTATTTATTCCAGAACTTAATCAAGTGGAATAATTATGCATCAGTTCCAACGTCTGCATCCTCACAGGATGCTATAAATAGAGAAACGCTAGTATTTGTACGATCAAAAGCAAAAGTTATACGTCAACACAAAAGTACGCGCATCTGATTTCCCAATCGTTTTTTTTTTGTTTTCAATATTTTTCTATTCCATATCAACTGCTTTTTATATACACTCAAGAAGATGTTGCTATGTATATACTCAAAGCAAGTTTTCACACACATGTAGTGTTCCATTGCTTACTTCCCGTAATTAAAGGTTCATTTGTAAACAATCGCTGTTATCATGTTGTCTCAGGTAAATATGTCATTTAAACAACTCATAGTTTCTTTTCCACATATAGAAATCAACATTGTATTACTTGTATGAAACGTCATACTTCGAAATATTTTTTAAAGTGTTCTTTGAGCTTTCAGCTGGTTATGTGATGATTGCACTAAGTGTTTATTAATTTACTTTATTAATTAATTCAAAGGGTTGAAAGGTGCATATTCCGCTGCTGTGTTACAGAAAACATTTCGTTGTCACTACAGACACAATTGTTCTTTAACAAACTATTCTAGAAGGCATTTCTTTCAAACAGCGACATGGAAAAATATTACAATTAGTGTTAGAACATTCACAAAGATTAACCAGGAGAAACAAACGGAAGCTTTCAGTTTATAGTCGTAAAAAAAAAGAATTTAAAACGCCCTCTTTCTTCGTCGGACAGTTAAAACTATGGGGATCCTTTTAAATATTTTCACTGTTCTAATACTTAAAACGTTTTAAATTCGATTTGCCTCATCATATGATGAAACACCTTCATACTTTATTTAAAAGTAAGAATTGAATGTTGTGATCAGTTATTTACAAACTTTCTCTCCAGTTCGCTGTTGTTGCTATCTTTCTTAATAAGGAATCCTAGGTTTTGGGGGCAATATTGGTTTTGAATCCTAGATATTCATGTGTTTAGACTTAGTTGATCAATACTATTATCTTTAAATAGGGAATGCAGCAATAGATTACATATAGTTTTTAAAACTGAATCGCATATAACAGTTTTGTATTCTTTGCTCAGATGTTTAAATACTGATAAAAAGCACAACTACTGTTAAAATAACTTTTATTTCCTAAAAGAAACTGTACGAAAAAAGAGTGGAGCATAGCTAGACGTTCTTATCCTCCCTACTTTCAAACACAACTAGCTAGCTCTCCTCAATCCAAATCCTACACTCTCCCTGTCAAGAATATGTCACGCAAGAATTAGTGTTTGAGGCTACAACTAGAGCTCACTCACTCTCTTCCCCGCATGCTGCTGGTCTTAGTTCTCCACTCTACACGCCTCACGAACGAGCGGGAAATAGGGGAATAAAAATACGTGGCGCGTTACTCAGATCCGTCGATTTGCTGACTTGGTCTGAACAAAAGCAATCCGGGACTTTTATCACGTGACTTGCGTCAGCCAGCCAGCAGATCGAGGCAAGCAGACGCGCCGTTCCGATGTCGGTGTACTGGAAGGAGCAGTTGAGGATAATTCTTAAGGTGCTGCATATTTTCGATTTTTTGGGAAAACTTTTAGCGTGACCACAAAACAAAAGGTAAGTAGATGATCCTTAGTCTTTCTAGTTGTAGAACTGATACCCATGAAACTTACAATAAGCTTTGCTTTTACTAAAAATCTGCCAATTTATCCACACTACTCGGGTGTCGTCTACACCACTGAACCAAAATGGCGACAACATATCACCGTAGATGCCCTCTCGAGAAAAACCGTACTTCTCTTCTAGTTCGTTGTTGCTAGGGTAGTTAGACTGCCACTGTCTTACACTTAAGGCTTTGATGCTCCTTTCAAGGAGGCACCATGTGTCTAGAAATCCGTTTACTAATTTTAATTTGCACTTTCTCTCTCTCTTCACGTAGTCTTTGAAGGTTTCAGCTGAGGCTGATATGCGCGTTTAGGCACACTCGTGAGCACAGCCAAACCTTAGCGAAATATCCTTGATTTTAAGTTAATCACAAACTGGTCCTTCAACTATTCCATGCCATCTTGGAGCTAATACTTCTCCAAATGCTTCTCATTTTGTCTGAAGATATGGATATAAGAATTTCTAACATTTAAATATGTTTTCGCTAGGCAATGTGACACACTGCTCAGTCGTAGCAAGTGTTAGTCCGAGCTTTCGTAAGGTAGGCAAAACATAAACCTTTTATTTCTCACTTTATTGTAGATTTAGCTCCAAACAAATATTATAGACAGATACTCTATATTATAAAGATTAGCTGGTACCTTTTTGGGGAAACAATTTTGATCCGTGTTAAAGTTGTGAACTTGAAAGCAATATGTAGTCTCTTTCCAGCCTGTGACGTCTTCCCAACTCTTGTGTATGTAACACTTCTCTCGTGGTTCTGTACAGTGCATGACGTTATAGCCCAAGTGTCTTACAAATTGGACACTTTGACAGAGTTCATTGGTATATCCAGTTTATTTATTTGTTTTGTTTTTTGTTGTTGCTTTTTGCTATAGTTTTTTTTAGTTTTTCAACCCTAAAATATTTGATACAAGTTTGATCGTATAATTCAGTTATGCAATATATATATATATATATATATTATATAGATATTGGCACTTGTATGAAGAATGCTTGCGAAGTGAGCGAGGATTTGTATGGCAAAATATTTTATGAAATTGTTCTCTTTTTTTTTCGTTGCTTTAATCATTCTACAAACAACCATTATTCCATATTCACACACCAGAAAGATGAACAGTATTATTAACACAATTTAAATTAGACTTAGAAGTTTTTGTAAGTTAATCTCGTTTTGGTTGATTTTCTACTATTGAAGTAGAGAATAGATTATTTTAAAATATAAGCTGTTGTTTTTTAAGTAGTTTCAAGAGAACTTTAATGCGTCATATCCAGACCAACTTAGTAGATTCCAGATGTGAATGTTGTAAGCCATCATGTGCAATTAGATAATATTCACGATAGACATGTGTTTTGAGATGTGTGTGTGGATGATTTATTTCCAGTCTCTACATGTTTCTTACTTAAAGATGCAGGAATGAAGCGTATTATACGTTCTGATGTAACCTACTCAGTCCACGATACCAGTGTTGGTTTAAGCAGTGGACAGCATTTAAAAGAAAGGTCCAGAACGAAACGTTATTGTTTTTAAATAGTTTAAACTTAGCCTTTCCGAGGTGCGAGTGCAGATACTTTAACGAGTTTACGGAGCGAAACTCAAAGAAAGGGGCTAAAACACCCCCCGAAGATAACAATTTGAAGGATTCCCCGGGATTAATGAAACCCGTGACAACTGACAGTTATTGGACATTTCTCTTGATGATGCCGTCGAATAGACAACAATTTCGCCGACCACATACACAGACCACCCCGATATCTCGGAGGGGAAAGGTCGGACGAGCGACTCGGGCAAAAGGTAAATCTTCCCACAAGAAGCGGGTGGCTGAGAAAGCCGTTAATTTTCTGTTGGCAAAAAAAAAATACAACAACAAAACCTAGAGGGTCACCAGTGCAGCAAAGTTTAAATATTATGACATGCTACTTTTTCTTTTCTTTTTACAACAGCGACAAGATAAGCAAGTAGTAATAAAAATAAGATTTGAAATTATTTTAAGCCAATCACAGATTAGGGTAGATGTTTGTTTGTTTTTCTCTTAAATATCTTCCAGAGAATGTGGCAGTATTTATGTCAAGTTACAGACAAACATTGTTACAGGGCATGAGTGTCATGTCACACATGGTCAAAATTCTCTTTTTTTACATAGTCAAAAAACGTAAGAGATGTTGGATACTCATTACAAAGGAAAAGCACAGGAAAAGTATAAATGTATTTAATCCAGCATTTTAAAATTCTCTCTACCAAAACCACATTTACTATTATAACACCTTTGATTCCTTCCTAGACATATATTCCTTTCATTCCTACAAATCTCCCATAATTATTACTGGAAAAGCATTTCTATAATTTGTCTATGTCTTTAATGTTATGGCAAGGCCCGTTTCTCTATAATACTTGTTTTACGTGGAGAACATTGCTAGGGCAAGGCTCGACTAACGTTAAGTCAGTTAAGAAACTTGATAGCTGCTCAAGGTCTAGGCACTGCTTTGCCGTTCGTGCCCTTGCATGTGTTTAAAGGGTGTGAGCGGGGCCACAGTTGGCCAGGAAACCCTCCTCTATTCTACGTTCTACTGGAGAGCGACGAGCACCGAGAGAAGTCTAGTCAGGCCAAATTGACGCTTGGTTTCCCACTCCTATTAGCTTGCATACCGGCACCTCCCGTCAATAGCAATGGACGCGGCCGCCTTGCTGCGGCATTCCGCGACATGTTGTATAAGAGTACGCAACCAACTAGCTAAGTTTCCCTCTTAAACCGGTACATCCACAATCGGTTCTCGCTCTCTCTGTCTAGAGTATTAAATTTGTAGTGGGGGACATTCATGAATCCCACGGGCTCAACATTCACAACGGAAATTTTTATTTTTTTAATCCACCTTTTCCTGAACTCTTTTAATACTGTGCATGCCACTTGGATAGTAAATAGAGCTTAACACTCTATAGCTTTGGTTTTGAGAGCCCACTGTTCAATACATTGATGGTCGTTTATCGTGGGAAGAACCTGTCCCTCTTTCTCCGGAAACGTCTAGTTTCATAAAAACAAAATATTTTAGCTATAGAAAACCTCCTGCTTATGAAGCGTCACACCGCGAGAAAGAGAATGTGGTAAAAATATAAAAGCATTACCTCGCCAATTACGAAGAGATCATTCTCAGTTTCTTCGCGTTATAGACACTTTTATAACGCACGTAACAAACGCGTATTAATGCGTGTAGTAGTTCTATTTCAATAGATATTGAAATTATTTTTATTAAGTATTTTTGAAGATAGATAATTAAAAAAGAAAAGGAAACTTTGCTTTTCATTACATGGTATATCTTATTCGTGACAACTTCTCACCGGTTCTTTTGTTGAGCTAAATCGGGAGTTTTTAGCGTTGTATTTCTTTGCGATGAGCTTAAAGCCATTACCAGCATTAATGGAAACTTCGCGTCTTCTCCAACAGAAGTGTGTGGACTGTTTTCTTGCTTATCGTGTATGTGTTCTTGTAAATCCATTAAGGTTCAACCTGAAATGGTTTTCTTTCATAATCTCTTCAAGATCGTTTACGTTGTTTTTCGTTTTTTTCTTCCTCTACAACAGTTATAACACACACACACAATATATATATATATATATATATATATTGTTTTTAAATAACATTTAAGAAATTTGTTTATTTGTTGTTAAGCTACAAAGATGCAGTAATGGACTAACTGTACTGTGTCCACACAAAGATCGAACCCCGAACATTAACGTTATAAACTCTCAAGCTTAAGCTTACCATTCACTCACCAGTAGTTAATATTGAGAAATATTATAATTAAATTATGCCCCCCCCCCCTTGTATTAATGTAATGCAATCGATTAGTTTACACATTCATTTTACCCAGTTAACGACACATTATGCAACGAAAATATGCACTACGGTGTATAAAGTTACACTAGAAAAGAAATTAATTCATCATTGAATCACCTATAATTAGTGAAAATTACAAAAGCTAACGTTTTTGGTTAATACTGACTGAATTCATTCATGGATTTGTTAAGAGCTTCTACACAAAAGGTTTGTTTGTTTCGAAGCTCGCGCTAAGCCACACGAGAGCTACCTGCGCTAGCCGTCCCTAATTTAGCAGTGAAAGACTAGATGGAAGGCAGCTAGTCATCACCACCAACTCTTGGGCTACTCTTTCACCAAGAAACGAATAGTGGGATTGATGGTCACATTATGACGCCCCCACGGCTGAAAGGGCGAACATGTGTGGTGGGATAGGGATTCGAACCCGCGACCCTCAGATGCGAGTCGAGCGCCCTAACCAACTGACCATGCTGGGCCCTACACAAAAGTAAGACAACTGTACTGTTCAATAGATCTAAATTAAAATTATATATATTTTTGTTTTAAATCAATAGTCCAGAAAATCCAAGCATGTGTTGATTACGTTGCATTGAATTATTAATTAGTTGTTCTTACTTTTAACAGTATTTTCGAATAATATCTCAAGAGGTTCGGTCAAGATAGAAGATTTAGGTAATTACTAAAACCACACACTTAGCTAGTAGAAATAGAAAATAATCTCCATAGCTACAATTAATTATGATTAAAATAAACGCCATATTATTTAATGAAACTAACCAAAAAGGAGTGGGTTCACGAGAAAGTTAACACAACGTCGAATTATAAACAACAGCAGGGTAAAAAGGGATTTAGTTAAGCCACGTTTCAAGCAACTGCTTTTCTGTAATGAAGTAGTGTGTTAACACTTGCAGTATCATCACAGACAACTTCTTATCTTACTGGTCTGGTCACGTTCATGGGCTCCCTAGACCACCCATCCACCCCCACCCCCTAAGCTTCTTGGGGTTTCCCGCAATAGTTAACTTGTTGGTTAATGACATCATGTAATTTTGCTCGACAAGCCCCATGGTGTCTAGTTGTGTCAATGATGATCATTTGTTGTAGAAGTTAGCTTTTTAA